TGAATAAGCAAGACCTTATTTAGACCACAATGGTTTGTGTTTTGACAGTGTGCAACTGTCCAGGTAAATTCAATTACAATTCGTAAATTAACATCTAAACAAAACCAACAAATAAAAATCAACAAAATCAGCTGTGTCAAACTCATAAGGTATTTTCCCCAAAGGCCCGAATTTGCACCATTAAAAGGAAACTGTAAATTGATCAAATCAGCTTCATACTGCATTGATGATCATTAAAGACATCAAACAATTTCATGCAGGAAGTTCTTCTTAATTTTTTTTCCTTATTGTGGACAGATCTAAGGTGCCCCAGTTTTCCTGTGCTTCAAGAGCATATAAATTGTAGGTGCTCCTTGTTCCTTTCAGGAGGCCATCTCTGCATCAGTCACTGAGAAAAAGCTTTCCTTAATGACAATTCAGAATGCAAAAAAAAAATAATAAATAATAAAACCTTTATGTCTTAAGGATCTTTTTTTTTTGTTTGTTTGTTTTTTGTGAACATTAAAAAAATAACATTGTAGTGTTTTTTGGCATCTGGACCACATTAAAACAGGTTCAGGTCATAAAATACAATATTTCAAACCAGGTCACAACTTTTCTATGCTCAGACCAGAAACTTTAAAACACAGTTTTTAAATAGGGAAAATGTTTGCTGATTAAAAAAATGCAGCTTTACTCATTATCTTTTATATGCAATAGTCACCAACAAAAACCAAACAGAAGCATATCAGTAGTGGTCACATTCTTCACTGTGATTAAAGCTGGGTGGTGTTTTAATGTTTGTGGTGCAGAACTAAACGCTACACTGCATCACAGCCAGTTTGAAACCTGAAAGTAATGTGCAATTATAATGGTCAGAACGGGTATAATGGCCAGTGTTTTTATTCCATTTAAAACAGCAAACACCATCCATCCATCCATTTTCTTTACCCGCTTATTCCACTTTGGGTCACGGGGGTCGCTGGTGCCCATGTCCATCAATCACTATGCGAGGGGCGGGTTACACCCTGGATGGGTTGCACGTCCATCACAGGGACACATAAACAACCATTCACTCTCTCACTCACACCTAGAGACAATTTAGAGTTACCAATCAGTCTAACATGCATGTTTTGGTCTGTGGGAGGAAACCGGAGTACCTGGAGGAAACCCACGCACGGAGAGAACATGCAAACTCCACCCAGAAAGGCCCTTGGACAGGGATTTGGACCATGGACCTGCTTGCTTAGAGGCAGCAGCTCTACCAGTTGTGCCACCGTACTGCCCCTTCAAGCAAAATATAAGATCAGTAATTAAGAAACTAAAGTATCAGAAGGTCGTATTTTTAAAATAACTGACAGCAGCATGATGAGTTTTGGGTCTGGGCCACCTCCAGATCATCAGTGGCCCCCATCTGGCATGGCCTCCTCTTTGAAAATGTTCTGGAGACGCCCCTGGTACAGCCCCCATCATGCAACGTTTGAGTGATTAAAAGCTGCAGCTCCCCCTAACCATCGGAATCCTCCTCTTTGCCCCCAGATGTGGGTTAAAGATGACACAAGCTGCTCTAATCCGCTGAAGGAGTGACCTACTCACGCACAACCCCCCGCATCCAAAGAGCGTGACACAAAGAGGAAAAACTGGTTTATATGATAGAAGCACCGATTCTGCATTTTAAATCGAACTGGGACCAGCAGGTCTGTGTTGGGGGAGAAAGGATCCTGGGGGCCCAGAGAAACAGAGTGCGCCTGCCTGGAGAGGCGGGACTGTGACCCGGTTCGACTGAAAACGAGCCCAAACCGCCGCTCCACTGCACCACCATGTCTGACTGCAGGAGGGAGTGGAACCGGGAGGACGAGCTCCCGGTGTACCTGGCTGGACCCATCACCACCGGACCGAACCAGCGGAAATCCTGCGGCATGTTCAGCTCCGTGGAGGGGGCGTTTGAGAGCAAAACCATACACTTGGACAACTACGCGGTGGAGAGGAAGGGGAGCCGCACCCCGAGGAGCTGCAGCCGCGAGAGGATACTGGACTCCCGGGACCCCAAAGGGAAAACCCCCGGCGAGGTCCGGGAGGGACCGCGGAGCTGCGGGGGCCCGGAGACAGACGATGCTCGAACCGGCGTGGAGGCTGGATCCACGGACAAGGAGAGTCCACATGAGAAGGTACGGGGGGGGGGGGGGGGGGGCATGTTTTATTATAAGCAGTCCCACATTAAACACCTCAGGACACTGCTCACCATCATCATTTAATTTGTCTTAAATCATTTTCAAGGTAAATGTCTTTATCTGCCATTTATAGTCGCTATGAAGCCAAGGTTTACTATAAATTATTAATTGTGTGCTGCAATGCAGTTAATCTGTGTTAATATGTTAATATATTAACATGTTAATGTGTTAATATGTTA